TGACAGTGTGGAGCCTGCTTGGGATTCTTCTCTCCCTCTCTCTCTGTTCCTCCCACACACACAAGATTATAATCTCAAAATAAATAAATAAACTTAAAAAAAGTTAAAATAGAAATACCATATGATCCAATAATTTCACTACTGGGTATTTACCCAGAGAAAACAAAAACATTAATTCAAAAAATATATAAGCACTCCTGTATTTACTGCAGCACCATTTACAATAGCCAAGATATATTCTATAGTGTCTATATATTATATATATATTATATAGAGCCTAAGTGTCTATCGACAAATGGATAAAGAACATGTGGAATACATGTATGGTGGAGTATTACACAGCCCTTCAAAAAGATGGTATTGTGACATGTGCAACAATATGAATGGACCTAGAAGGTATTATTCTAAATGAAGTAAATCTGAGGAAAAATAAATACCACATTATTTCACTCATAGGTGGAATCCAAAAAAAGGAAATGAATAAACAAATGTTAAAAAGCAGAATCAGACCTATAAATAAAGAAGAGATGGCTGCCAGGGAAGGGGGATGGTATTGGAAAGGATGGACAAAATGAGAAGGCGAGGGGGAGATGCAGGCTTCCAGTTATGGAATGAGTAAGTCACAGGAATAAAAGGCACAGCACAGGGAATATAGTCAATGATGCTGTAATAGCATTAGGTGATAACATATGGCAGCTACAGTTGTGGTGAGCATAGCACAACACATAGAGAAGTTGAATCACTATGTTGTACACCTGAGGATAATGTAACAGTGTGTGTCAACCATACTCAAAAATATTTTTTTTTAAATATTTTTATTTATTTCTAGGAGAGAGAGAGACAGCGTGAGCAGGGGAGGGTCAGAGAGAGAGGGAGTCACAGACTGAAACAGGCTCCAGGCTCTGAGCTGGCAGTCAGCACAGAGCCGGACGCGGGGCTCGAACCCACGAACCGTGAGATCATGACCTAAGCGAAAGTCGGACGCTTAACTGGCACCCCTCAAAAATATTTTTTAAAAGGAGACCAAATGAATTGTAAAGACTACCAAATTTTAGAAATTTCACAGTATGTCCAAACTTCTTTAACTGCAGCTAAAAGGTGTCTTCTATGTTAACATGGTGTGCTGGGCATTATTCTAAGAGCTTTTAACTATATTAGGTTGAATGTCTAAAGTTTCTGATATTCAGCTGTTTTTAGACCTACAGAAATAAATTCACATGGTTCAACTTAAGACTTCCTCCCAACATATCCACTATATATGATGTAACTAAGGCACAAAAAGAATAAGTAGTATGCTGACAGTAAACAGAAAAACTAGGATTCATACTAAAAGATGAACTTCAGACCCTTCACTTTTAAGCATACATTGTATTAACTATTATTAGTAGTAATAACAGTAATACTAAATTTAAGGCACGTGGGAGAATACAAAAATGTTATTTTCATGAAGACAATGTCTATCCTGTCTCTCACTCTATTCCCAGAACGTACTCTAGGGCCTTGAGCAGAATAGATGCTAAATAAATAATTACTGAATAATAAAATGAAAAATGATTAAATGCATGAATACGGAGATATATTTTCTAGCCTCCAACGGCTTACCACCTTTTAAGAAAAATAAGACCTATATGGAAATAACTATAAGAATGTAGTAGCATAACAACTTGGGATATAGGACATGGGCACCTCGACCCCGAGGCCAATGCCACCACGACCACGGAAGGAAGGGAGCTCTGCTCTCAGTGCTCCATAAGCTGGTGGGCTAAGTCATCTGCGTGTGGGTGTTTTTGGTCCGCCCACCACCCACAGGCCTGAGAATGCACCTGTGGATGCACGGACCAAGGTGTGCTGTGGAGGGGAGACCCTGTGGGGCACCTCCTCTTTGCAGCCAGCCCAACTCCACCCTGGATGCTACAGAGGGGCACAACTTGGATCCTGGAGGTTGGCAGGCGACTCCCGAGTGGAGTGAGATTTGAAACCCCGGTGGGTCAATCCACACCCCATACCTTCCACAGTAGCAGATAAAGCACCTCTGAGCTTGTGTTAAGTTCAGCTGGGCCACAAAACCACTAGTAAGTGTGAGAATAAAGGGAAACATAGCTAAAAGAGAGCAGGGAGGCTAGAAGGGAGAGCCCTACCACTCAGTATCATTTACAGACCCCACCAGGGAAAGCTATGCTGATCACGACTGTGACAGCAGCCAGTGAGAAACTGTCATCAGCCTGATCTCTTTTCTCTAGTGGGTTTTGGTTCAGAAAACTCCCTCCCAGCTTTTTTTTTTTCCCCTCTATGAAATAGTTACTTTTCTTTAAACAAAGAAAAGAAAAGAAAAGAATGTAACAGCATAACAAAGATAAAATATTTTGGTATAACAAAGGAAGGACAGCTGTCATAGAACTGACGCAGCAGTGTGGGTTAGTGGAAACAGGACAGGTTTTGAATTCAGGCATTTCTGAGTTGAGACTCACTTCTGCCTCTTATTAGCTGTGTAATTTTCCACACACACAGATTTACTCAACATTTAATTCATATCAAATACACAATGCCTGGTGTATGTTAATACTTGATTCCTAACTTAAATAACCTAACATTTAATAAGAGCAAACAAATAACCATTTTAAGCTTCTGTTTTATGGTATGTAAAATGAAAATAATAGCAGCTACCTATTAAGAGACCACGCAGTGCTATATGTCAATATCTAGCAAAATGCCTGGTATACAATAATTGTTCAATAATTAGTAATTCTTTCCCTGCTGAACTGCATTTTATTGAATCAAGAATCCCAAACATTAAAAAACTGAATTTGGATAAATAAAAAATAACGGAAACTATAAATTCAAGTTATCTTGAGAACACAAATGAATGCCACTATCTTTTTATAAGTGGAAGTTTCTACTTGTACTGAATGCTGCTATCTTATATCAAATCCATATGTATAAATTACTTCATCCTAATAGACTTTTATTTACAATTTTCATCTAAAACTTGTAAATATACAAGTATCGATTTTAACACAAGAGGAATCAGTACTTTTCCTATTCTAAATGAATGTGCTGACAGAAACAAGTGCAAATATATGTATCAGCATCTATAGTTTTCTTTCTAAGGAAAAGCCAATTAAGTGACCCAGGTGCTTGGCTGGCTCAGTCCATACAGCATGTTGACTCCTGATCTCTGAGTTGTGAGTTTAAGCCCCATGCTGGCACAAGGTTTAATTTAAAACAAACAGACAAACAAAAAAACAAAAAATTGTGAACACAAAAGGTTTTATTCCTGCTAAGTTCATTTCCATAATTAAACTTGGTGCTCATTTTCAATCACATTTATTTTATGTATGAGGCCTGGACCACTGAATAAAAGCTAGGGTAAGAAAAAAGTATACAAATGCAAAAGCAATCAGTCCCTGCTTGCAAAAGAGATCAGCAGCTATTGTTTTGTTAAAAACAAAACAAACAAACAAACAAAACCAACAACCTCTATGTCCATCCTTTAAACAGTCTAAGAGTCCAAGGTCTCTAAACAGCCATTCTGGCTTATAAGAGGAGAGATTTCTGGAGAGATGGTAAAGAATGTGTTTATAAATAAATAAGTGATGAAATGTTAGGTAAGAACAAAAAAAAAGAAAGAAAGAAAAAAACACCCCTGGGAAACATAACACGGTAAATAAAAACTAGAAGGTAATGAATTACCGTGGGTTGTGTATGCTAGATCAAGGTCCTATTCACAGTAACACTGCACGTTCCAAAGTTTCTCACATAACAAGAAATCCTTCACAGTGCTAGCAGTTATTTTTTTATTCAAAATCTTAGCAAAACTTATAATGCTTTATTTCATCAACCATATATAAAATACATAAATTTCATTTCATTTGTATTCCATTTGAAATGTATTCACTTTTTTTTAAGTTTACTTATCTTGAGAAAGAAAGAGAGAACACATGCATGCGTACACAGGGGAGGGGCAAAGAGCGAGGGAGAGACAGAATCCCAAGCAGGCTCCAAAGTGTGAGCCCAGAGCCTGACACAGGGCTCCGATCCCACAACTGTGAGATCATGACCTGAGCCAAAATCAAGAGCTGGACACTTGACTGAGCCACCCCTGAAATTTATTCAAATAGTTTCTCAGCGTATACTACACTCGTGGGCCTTCTAGCACTGTGTGTACTAAGATGGGTAAGACACTCTCTCTACCCTTATGTAATAATTTAGGACTGGAGGAAGATGCACTGAGTAACAGCTAGATACAAGTGACAATGACAAAATAAAACCATGAACAAAATGTGGAAATCACAGAAGTGGAAGCAACTAACACTGCCTAGAGGTATCAGAAGTCATTTCACACAGGAGGTGATACATAAGAATTTTAAAGGATGAATGCAAATCTATTAGGTCAAAAAAAGACAGAAAAGGCATCAGAGACAGTAATATAAATTAAAACATAAAGGCATAAAATATATGCTCTTTGAAGAACAAAGAGAAGCTGAGTGTAGATGAGGCACTGGTACCAGCATGTGGTGAGGACTGAGACTTCAGCAAAAGGAAATGGAGCCTTATTAGAAAGGGCCTTGAAGGATTTGCTACTTAAGCTAAAACGTTTGGGAAACAATCCGAAATATTTTTAATTTTTTTTAACATTTATTTATTTTTGAGAGAGAGAGAGAGACAGAGCCCAAGAGGGGGAAGGGCAGAGAGAGAGGGAGACACAGAATCCAAGGCAAGCTCCAGGCTCTGAGCTGTCAGCACAGAGCCTGACATGGGGCTTGAAACCACTAACCCTGAGATCGTGACCTGAGCCGAAGTCAGATGCTTAACCGACTGAGCCACCCAGGTGTGCCCAATCTGAAATATTTAAAAAGATGAGTGACCTGATCAGGTATGTGTAAAAAGGAAAGTAAAATGCCTATGCAATTAAGTGTTACAGAGACTAACATAAAGCAGGCATTCAATTAGTGTTATTAATACTACAAAATTCACATAACAGTTTCAAAAAGAATAATCACCTTATATCTTTGATAGTTGCTCGTTTCAGGGGATCAACCTGCAGCATATGCATCAAGAGAGTGGCAACAGAACGATTTAGATATTCTGGGATATAAAAAACACCACCTCGGATCTTCTTAAATAACGTAGGTACGTGCTCATCATCAAATGGGAGGGTACCACAAAGAAGGGCATACAAAATAACTCCGCAGCTCCAGATATCAACTTCAGGACCTGCATACAATCTAAGAAAAAGGACGACAACACAAACCTGAAATACAAGTATCGCCTTTCCTCATCCGCGTGTAGCCGGTTTCTGTATGTACATAGTACAAACCTGGTTTATATTGATTTGCAGGCCTTCAATGAGGGCCATGGCCACACTCCAACACTCAATACTTGTTCCCCACAGAGAATTGGTCTAAGCAATTACTATTCACGTTTTCCAAAAGAAAGCAGTATTTTTCTTTGTCACAAACTTACTGAACTAATTGGCTTATTAAAACAAATAAAACTTAACTATGGTTGATTGTTTTATGAAAACATCAAAGTAGATAACCATAAACTTAAAAAAAAATACTATAGTGTATAAGTTAAATTGTTTTATCATAAAACTACAAGGAAAAAAGTGCATATGTAACAGAATTTTTTTCCCTGACACACCTATTTTATAGAGTATTTGAAAAATTACAGGGCCTAGCTAGTTCTACAGCCATCTCTTTGACAGTATTTGTCCTGTATAACATTATCCTGAGTATGACTTTCATTCCACGCTTGTTAGGTTAGCTCACGGGACTAAGGTTAGCTTTGCTACACATAACCTATGCCTGGAATATTATTCCCTTCTTCTCTCACCTATATACAGTATTAAAATGCTCCTGATAGCACACTGACAAACCTGGGTCTGAGGTAACAAAGTAAATCTGTTATTCCAATTAAAAGAATATAATCCATTTCAAAATGGTACATCATTTATCTGTCATTTGATGTAATATCCAAAACTCCTATATCTGTTCTTGCAATAATACCTTTTCTGTATTTTCTCTCAGAGAATTCTGTTAAGTTTTTAAATCAGACATTGGTCACTGTAGAAAGTCTCCAGTTTATCACTGCAATCTGTATAAACATTTTTTATATACACCAATGGGTAAGTTCTGAACTCTACTTGTACAGTTCAATTTCATGAAATGACAATATTGTCCCCAAAAAAACCTCAATCTTCTAAAGACAAAACATAAAACAAACTCTATATAGTACTTTATTTAAAAATACGTAAATTATTATTTAACGGCTATCTGATAGGAATGCTTGAATATAGCAAATGCTTTCTCTTATGTGTACTTTTCCAAAATAAAGAAAATGAAGATTTCTTTCAGTCTTTTTTTAATGGAAAAACTCCTTTAAATTCTCTTCAATAATTTAGCATCACCACAGACTCATGAAACTTTGAGAACAGAGAGAAAAAGTTCACCTAAGGGTTTTATGAGCATCAGTACACTTCTTATCTCTTCCATTAACACTTTACTCTTTGCTTACATCCTTATATTTTCTTTTCATTGCAATGTCTAAGTGACTTATACCTCTGCATTCTGCACAGGGGAACCTAGGTGTGTTATATATTGCCACCCTAAATGGGACCAAGAACACTAATACTGTCCTATCAAGCACTTAATGCTTCAATTCTTTTGTAATTATGTCCAACAAACATTCATTCTCTGTTATTACTGTATCATTAATAATATCAAATATAACTAAGAATAAAAATTATACCTGGAAAAAAGAAAAAGTCCTTAAATATACTTGTAACAAAATCTAAACTATTTAAAAAATTATTCAATAAAGCTATTCTCTCTTAAAGAATGGAAAAATTAAAAGGGCAACTTGTTCCTACTGTGTTAATCTTATCCTCCAAACAGAATACATAATTGTTATTAAAATGAACAAAAGATTATGAAAAGCTTCATCTCCACCCACCCATTATTACCTGCCTGAGATGACTTCAGGTGCTGCATAATTGGGAGATCCACAACTAGTTCGCAGAAATTCACCATCCGACATCATATTAGACAATCCTGAAAATAAGAGTAACGTTTACTTTATACTGGATATTTTTTATTTATTTTTTTTAAATTTTTTTTAATGTTTTATTTATTTCTAGGAGACAGAGAGAGAGACAGCGTGAGCAGGGGAGGGTCAGAGAGAGAGGGAGACACAGAATCTGAAACAGGCTCCAGGCTCTGAGCTGGCAGTCAGCACAGAGCCAGACACAGGGCTAGAACCCAAAAACCGCGAGATCATGACCTAAGCAAAAGTCGGACACTAAACTGACTAAGCCACCCAGGCACCCCTATACTGGATATTTTTTAAAGTAGACATAAGTACATGAGGGAAAATATCAAGTCTTTCATCTTCTATACATATTTTTTAATTATTAAAAAAATAAAGCAGTGGTGGGCGCCTGGGTGGCTCAGTCGGTTAAGCGTCAGACTTCAGCTCAGGTCATGATCTCATGGTTTGTGGGTTTGAGCCCTGCGTCGGGCTCTGTGCTGACAGCTCAGAGCCTGGAGCCTATTTCAGATTCTGTGTCTCCTTCTCTCTTTGAACCTCCCCTGCTCACATGGTCTCTCTCTCTCTCTCTCAGAAATAAATAAAACATTTTAAAAAGTAATAATAAAAAAATAAAGCACTGGAAAGCATTTGTTAGACTAGAAAAAAACATTCCAGCATGCTTACACTTTGACAAAAAAGATAAAGCACATCATGTATGACTGGAATTCCTTTTTCTAAATAAAAATGTTGAGTCACTTGAAAAATATGAGGTTTTCCTAAATTATATGAACTTTTCCAAATGTAAAAGCATCAAAATCCTTTTGCCCATTTCTAAAGCTGAAAGAATGAAATGGAGCCTATTACTTTTTATCCTATAGTTTTAAAGCCTTTAAAAATAAAATCTCCCAGTAAAGTTTTTTTTTGGGGGGGGGAGTCAACATGGCAGAGCTACAAGTAGGGGAACCCAAAGTTTTCTCATCTCTCAAACACAGCAGTATTGAGGCCAGAAGACGGAATTCCGGGAATCCAGGCTACAAAGTGACAGAAACATCTCTAAGGGCCCACGGGGACAAATTCATGCGCCATAGGTGCGTGACAGCCACCTGGGACATAAAACAGGTGGCGTAGGCACAGAAGGGAGGGATCCTGTTCTTGGGAGAGACACAAAGAAGAGAAAGAGAGGCTGCAGAAGTGTAGGACTATATTTGGACAAGAGAAAAACCACAGACCAGGAAACAGAAAAAATAGAGAAAACCAATCTTTAGCATCATCCACGGTTGCAGGTCTTTCTCTGGACTGGGGCCTGCGCCCTGTACACTAGCCTGGGGAGGAGAGGAGCCAGACCCAGGCTCGGTAGCAAGCTTGGAGACTCAGTTGGAGAGCGCGGACCCTTCCCTTGACTGCTGTGGGAAGAAAGTATATACCCACTCCAAAGACAAAAGACCCTGTAGACGCTTGCCAGCCAGAGGCCTTTGCTGGCTGGGCAGAGTGAGTGGCACTACCCCAGAACTGGGGTGCACAGACAGGGATCCTTATGGTGACGGGGACTGAATCTCAGCCGAGTGCCTGGGAGGTGCAGGAGATAGTGGAGCGGAGCAAACAGGCCACTCGTGTCTGCACGGCACTGTGAGGACAGCCTGAACAGAGTGGTTGGGGACACCTGATCTGGGGAGGAGAGATAGAGTGGTGTCCCATTTTCTCCCCATCTCCAAAAAGGTTGGACTTCAGGGAAGGGACAAGGGACCCACAGTGCAGGCAAGAGCCGCCTACACCAAACCACGCCCCTCCGTGCCTGATAACTGCAGATCTACGGAAGCAAGACCGACACTGAACCAGAGGGCGCTGCAGACCAGTGCTGCAGTCACCAGTTCCAAGGCACCAACAGGTATCAGTCCAGTGGTTTTGCATTTTCTGATTTGATTCTTGGTCAATTCTTATTTAATGTATTTTTTTTCTTCCTTTTATTACTTCTATTCTGATTGTTGGTTTGTTTAAGCAGATATTTTTAATCCATTCTTTTTACATCTCTTCTGTATCTCTTTTTTTTTTTTAATGTTTACTTATTTATTTTGAGAAAGAGAAAGAGAGAAAGCAGGAAGAGCACAGGCGGGGAGAGAGAGAGAGAGAGAGAGAGAGAGAGAGAGAGAGAGAGAATCCAAAGTAGGCTCTACAGCTGTCAGCTCAGAGCCCAATGCAGGGCTCAAATCCATGAAATATGAGATTGTGACCTAAGCCAAAGGCAGACACTTAATCAATTGAGCCACCCAGGCACCCCTGTTATCTCCTTCTTATTTCTCTCTCTCTCTCTCTCTCCCTCCCTCCCTCCCTCCCCCCGCCCCCCTGCCCCGGATTAAACCGGTTTCTCTGATTCTCTGCCTGGTCAATTTTTTTTTTCAATTCTTTTCCCCCTACCCCTGTCATTTCTCTCTTTGTAAGGGATAAGACTTCTTCCACCACCACCCTCATTTTAAAATTTTTCTCCAGGGTTCCATTAATGAACAAATCAATGCACACCTAGTAGAAGGTCAAAACCACCAGTACAAGGAAGAAACGAAAGCAACCAGAGTCACAAAAACAGAGAGCACACAACACACTCCAACAACACTTCCTGAAGGGCCAGACCCTGGACAGTGTATGACCCCTTTTTAATATAATTGTGCTCGCAGGTGCAGGTCACATAACAAGCTATTAAAACGCATCAAGGACAGAAAACTAGCCAAAATGATGAAACGGAAGAATTCTCCTCACAAGAAATTCCAGGAAGAAATGACAGCTGAGAACTGATCAAAACAGATATAAACAATATATCTGTTCAATAATTTAGAGTAACAGTCATAAGATTAATAGCTAGACTAGAAAAAAGCATAGAAGACAGCAGAGAATCTACTGCTACAGAGATCAAGGAACTAAGAAATAGTCCCAACAAATTAAGAAATGCTGCAAATGAGGTGCAAAATAAACAAGATGCAGTGACAGCAACGATGGAGGAAGCAGAGAGGAGAATAAGTGAAATAGAAGATAAAATTATGGAAAATGATGAATCCGAGAAAAAGAGTGATAAGAAAATACTAGATCACAAGAGGAGAATTAGAGAACTAAGTCATTCACTGCACATAATAATATCCATATCCTAGGAGTTCCAGGAGAAGAAGAGAGAGAAAGGGGCAGAAGGTCTACTTGAACAAATTATAGCTGAGAACTTCCCAAATCTGGAGAAGGAAGTAACATCCAAATCCAGGAGACACAGAGAACTCCCTTCAGATTCAACAAGAATAGGTCTTCACCACAGCATATCATAGTGAAACTGGCAAAATATAGAGAATTTAAAAGCAGCTAGAGACAAATGGGCTTTACACTACAAAAGTAGACACATAAAAGTAGTAGCAGACCTGTCCACTGAATCCTGGCAGGTCAGAAAGGGAATAGCAGGAAATAATCAATGTGCTAAATAGGAAAAATAAGGATCCAAAAATCCTTTATCCAGCAAGGCTGTAATTCAAAATGCAAGGAGAGGTAAAGGTTTTTCCAGACAAACAAAAACTGAAGGAGTTCATGACCACTAAACCAGCAAGAGATCCTAAGGGGGACTCTGTGAATGGAAAACACCAAAGACTGCAAGGAACAGAGATATCACCGCAAGCATGAAACCTAGAGATAACACAATGAAAACTAAATCTGTATCTTTCAATAACAGCTGAATGTAAATGGACTACATACCCCAGTCAAAAGACAGAGGGTATCAAAATGGGTCAAAAACAAGATCAATCTATATACTGTCTACAAGGCATTCATTTTAGACTGTCAGATTGAAAATGAGGGAATAGAGAACCTCTATGATGCTACTGGAAGTGAAAAGAAAGCTGGAGTAGTCATATCAAACAAGCTAGATTTTAAACTAAACGTTGTAACAAAAGATGAAGAAGGGAATTATATAATTATGGGGTCTATCCATTAAGAAAAGCTAGCAATTATAAATATTTATGCCCCCAACTTGGAGGCATACCCAAATATATAAATCAATTAATCACAGACATAAGCAATTTTATTGATAAGAATACAGTAACTGCAGAGGACTTTAATACTTCAATTACAGCAATGGACAGATCATTTAGGCAGAAAACCAATAAAGAAACAATGGTCCTGAATGATACACTGGGCCAGATGAACCTGACATATATTCAGAACTTTTCATTCAAAAGCAGCAGAATACACATTATTCCCCAGTACACATGGGACATTCTCCAAGACAGATCATATACCGGGTCACAAAACAGCTCTCCATCAACATAAAAGAATGGAGATCATATTATGCATATTTTCAGATCACAACACTATGAAACCTGAAATCAACCATAGAAAAAATCTGGAAAGCCTCCAAATGCATGGAGGTTAAAGAACATCCTACTAAAGAATGAATGGGTCAACCAGGCAATTAAAGAAGAAATTTAAAAATACATGTAAGCAAATGAGAATGAAAACATGACAGTCCAAACCCTCTGAGATGCAGCAAAGGCAGCCATAAGAAGAAAACAGAATGCAATCCAGTCCTATCTCAAGAAACAAGAAAAAGCCCAACTACAAACACCTAATCACTCACCTAAAGAAACTAGAAGCAGAACAGCAAAGAAACCCCAAAGCCAGTAGAAGAAGAGATTAGATAATCTCTTATCTAATAAGAGAAATAAACAATATAGAATCCAAGAAAAAAGATCAATAAATCTAAGAGTTGTTTTTTTGAAAAAATAGACAAAATTGATTAACCCCTAGCCAGACTTCTTAAAAAGAAAAGAGAGAGGACCCAAAAAGATAAAATCACAAATTAAAAAGGACAGATCATAACCAACACCACAGAAATACAAACAATTATTAGAAAATACTATGAAAAATTATATGCCAACAAACAGGACAACTTGGAAGAAATGGACAAATTTCTAGACACCCCCATACTACCAAAACTCACAGGAAGAAATATAAAATTTGAACAGACCCATAACCAGCAAAGAAATTGAATCAGTTCTCAAAAGTCTCCCAACAGGGGTGCCTGGGTGGCTCAGTTGGTTAAGTGTCCAACTTCAGCCTAGGTCATGATCTCATTGTACCTGAGTTCCAGCCCCACATCAGGCTCTGTGCTGACAGCTCAGAGCCTGGAGCCTGTTTCAGATTCTGTCTTTCTCTCTCTGCCCCTCCCCTACTTGTGTGGTTGCGCTCACTCTCTCTCACCCTCTCGCTCTCTTATTCTCTCTCAAAAATAAATAAAACATTAAAAAAAATTTTTAAATCTCCCAACAAATAAGAGCCCTGGGCCAGAAGGCTTCCCAGGGGAATTCCACCAGACATTTAAAGCAGAGTTAATACCTATCCTTCTCAAGCTGTTCCAAAAAACAGAAATGAAAGGAAAGCTTCCAGACTCATTCTATGAAGCCAGCATTACTTTGATTCACTGACCAGAGAGAGACCCCACAAAAACGGAGAATTACAGACCACTATCCCTGATGAACATGGACACAAAAACTCTCAACAAGATACTAGCAAATCACATTCACCAGTATATTAAAGCAATTATTCACTATGATCAAGTGGAATTCATTCCTGGGCTGCAGGGCTAGTTCAATATTCACAAATCAATCAATGTAATACATTACATTAATAGAAGAAAGGATAAGAACCACATCTTCCTCTCAATAGAAGCAGAAAAAGCATTTGACAAAACATCATCCTTTCTTAATAAAAACTCTCAAGAAAGTCAGGATAGAAGTAATATACCTTAACATCATAAAAGCCATAAATGAAAAGCCCACAGCTACTATCATCCTCAAGGAAGAAAAATTGAGAGCTTTCCCCCTGAGGTCAGGAACATGATAGGAATGTCCACTCTCACCACTGCTGTTTAACATAGCGTTGGAAGTCCTAGCCTCAGCAATGAGACAACAAAATGAAATAAAAGGCATCCAAGTTGGCAAAGAAGTCAAACTTTCACTTTTCACAGACAACATGGTGCTCTTCATGGAAAACCTGAAAGACTCAATCAAAAAGCTGCTAGAAATGATACATGAATTCAGCAAAGTCTCAGGCTACAAGATCAAAGTACAGAAACTGGTTGCATTTCTATACACCAATAATGAAGCAACAGAAAGAGAAGTCAAGAAACTGATCCCATTCACAACTGCACCAAGAACCATAAAATACCTAGGAATAAGACCAAAGACGTAAAACATCTGTATGGTAAAAACTATAGAAAACTTATGAAAAGAACTAAAGAAGACACAAAGAAATGGAAAAACACTCCACGCTCATGGATTGGAAGAATACTGCTAAAATGTCAATACTATCCAAAGCAATCTACACACTCAATGCAATCTCAATTAAAATTACACTGGTATTCTTCTCAGAGCTAGAACAAATAATCCTAAAATTTGTATGGAACCACAAAAGACACTGAATAGCCAAAGTAATGTTGAAAACGAAAACCCAAGCAGGAGGCATCACAATCCCAGACTTTAGCTTCCACTACAAAGCTGTAATCATCAAGAGAGTATGGTTTGGGCACAAAAATAAACACACAGACCAATGAAATAGAATAAAGAACCCAGAACTGGACCCATAAATATATGGCCAACTAATCTTTGACAAAGCAGGAAAGAGTATCCAATGGAAAAAAGACAGTCATTTTAGCAAGTGGTGCTGGGAGAACTGGACAGCAGCATGTAGAAGAATGAAACTGGACCACTTTCTTACACCATACACAAAAATAGACTCAAAATGGATGAAAGACCTAAATGTGAGACAGGAAACATTCAAACCCTAGAGGAGAAAGCAGGCAACAATCTAATCTCTCTGACCTCTGCCACAGCCAATTCTTACTTAACATATCTCTAAAGGCAAGGGAAATAAAAGAAAAAATGAACTATTGGGACCTCATTAAGATAAAAACCTTCTGCACTGCAAAAGAAACAATCCACAAAACTAAAAGGCAAGCGACAGAATGGGAGAAGATATGTGCAGATGACCTATCAGATGAAGGGTTAGTATCCAAAATCTATAAAGTCTGTTACCAAACTCAACACCCAAAAAACAAATAATCAAGTGAAGAAATGGACAGAAGACACGAATAGACACTTTTCCAAAGAAGACATCCAGATGGCCAACAGACACATAAAAAGATGCTCAACATCACTCATCATCAAGGGAAATACAAATCAAAACCACACTAAGATACCACCTCACACTGGTCAGAGTGACTAAAATTAACAGAGTGACTCAGTCAATAACAGATGTTGGTGAGCAGGTGGAGAAACGGCAACCCTCTTGCACTGGTGGTGGGAATGCAAAGTGGTGCAGTCACTCTGGAAAACGGTGTGGAAGTTCCTCAAAAAATTAAAAACAGAACTACCCTATGACCCAGCAATAGCACTAGTAGGAATTTATCCAAAGGATACTGGAGTGCTGATTCACAGGGGCACACATACCCCAACGTTTATAGCAGTGCTTTCAACAATAGCTAAATTACAGAAAGAGCCCAAATGCCCATTAACTGATAAATGGATAAAGAAGACAGAATACTACTTGACAATAAGAATGAAATCTTTCCATTTGAAATAACATGAATGGAACTAGAGGATATTACGCTAAGTGAAATAAGTCAGTCAGAGAAAGATAGGTATCATGTTATCACTCATATGTGGAATTTGAGAAACTTAACAGAGGACCATGGGAGAGGGGAAGGGGAAAAATAGTTTCAGAGAAAGAAGCAAACTACAAGAGACTCTTAAATACTGAGAACAAACAGAGTTGATGGGGATGGTGGGGGAGAGGGGAATACAGGTGAAGAACACTGAGGAGGGCATCTGTTGGGATGAGCACTGGGTGTTGTATGTAAGGGATGAATCATGGGAATCTACTCCCGAAGCCAAGAAGTATAGACACTGTATGTTAGCTAACTTGACAATAAATTATAAAAATATAAGTTGTTGTTTTTTTAAAAAAAAAAAAAAAAAGAAAAGAAAGTGAAACAGGGAAACCACCTTCCTTGTTTAAAATTTGTTTAATGTTTATTTCTGGGAGGGGAGAGACAACGAGGGGGGTGTAGAAAGAGGATCTGAAGTGGGCTCTGTGCCAACAGCAGAGAGCCCAATGTGGGGCTCGAATTCATGAACTGTGAGATCATGACCTGAACTAAAGTAGGACACTGAATCGACTGAGCCACTCAGGTGCCCCAAAAGGGGCCTGCCCAAGTTTCCTAGTTTTTAAAGACAAGGTATAGACAAAATTTTAAAATAAGCAATGCTGAACTTGGGCACTTTTCTCTCTCTCTTTCTATAATGTCTCACTTCCTAATCTTTCTGCCAAACTCCCTACACTATGGTACTCTTTCCAGGTTTGTTTACCCCAGAAAGTGTTCAGTGCATTAAATTTACATTTAACCTTTTTGTTTTACTCTTGACCAAAGCTCCTATTCTTTTAGCAAGTTGTTACATTTTACCCTGAGGTCCACTGACACCCACCCTTGATCAATTCATAAAGACTTTAAGTCTTCTAAGCTACATGCAAATTTTCATGTACCTCTCTTGAAGTGCATTCATCAAAGGAAGTGTCCATATTTTCATCAGATTTTCAAAGGACTCTGTGACCCCCACAGAAAGAACAGTTATGTATTCCTTTAGCAAGAAATGCAGATAAAATGGACTTACCTTGAAGCTAGCCCTCTAACTTCTCTGGAAGTATTTGCATTTTAATAACTGTGTTTAGATGAATACAATAAGCTAGTTTGAAGACCGTGCAACTAACCCCTTTTCATGGTATAGGATTTACAAAGTTGAAACTGCAAATGTATACCTTAACACTTGCTACTGACACACTTTAAAAGGCAACCAGTACACTTCTGAACAACCCTGGGGTTACATACCAAAATCCGCTATCTTGGCATTCATGTGAGCATCCAACAGCACATTCTCCGGTTTCAAGTCTCGATGAACCACCATATGCCTATGACAGTAATCCACAGCCGACAGAATCTGCTGAAAAAGCCGCCTTGCTTCCACCTCTGCAACCTGGCAAGTGTAACAGAAACCGCACTAAGAATGTTTGGGACATCTTCAGGCTAGAGTTTCAGTTTCATCATCAACCCAAATGTAACTGAGGAAGCCAATTAGATAGAACTGGGTCAGAATTTTTAACAAATCAGACAAACCAACCAAAAACTTGCATTAAAGATCAACATGTCAACCAACAATGTTCTTCTGTGTTGCCAGGAAATAAGATTTAATTTTCAATTAATATCACTAAGCATGCAAAATGTTTTAGGCAGTCAACAAGTAAAACATAACCTAAGACAGAACTTCTATGAAAGTATTCAGAAAAGGAAATAACTGAAGCTTCAACACATTATAGAACAGATCCTTCATTCTGAAAACACAGACATCATATTGGCAACGAAGTGCAACATGTTCCTAAAATCAGTATTTCAAAAGATGTATTTTTTTTAAGATTTTATTTTTAAGTAATCTCTACACCCAACATGGAGCTCAAACTTACATCCCCAAGATCAAGAGTCACATGGTCCACTGTCTGAGCCAGCCAGGAGCCCCTTGACAGGTTTATTTTTTGAGAAAGAAAATATGTCTAATATTCTGTATCTTTAGTTGGGCTTTATTACAGAAGCAACCCTGACTTTGTAGATATCTTTGTGGTTTACTATTTCCTACTATCCTCTTCTTTAGCTTAGGGGCTTCTTGTACCAGATAGTACGTTACTCACCCGTCCATGTTTACAGATGTAGTCAAATAATTCACCGCCAGACACATATTCCATTACCATAAAAAAATCTGTTGGAGTGCTGATCACCTGGTATCTTTTTTGTAAACGAAAAGAATCATAAAAAAATGTTAGTTTAATTTAAAAAATCAAGCTAGTATATTATTGCTAACATTTTATATTCCAGTGTTTTACAATATTCTAAGAAGGAAACAAAATATGTTATCAGAACAATCACAGAGCTATAAGCACAGCTTTACAAAATTCTCTACTTTCTGAGGCTTAAGGACTTTTCTTCAGATCCTCCCTTTCATGTTTACAAATTCTTCGAAATCCTTCATTCTTCAAAAACTAAGCATTAATTTCTCCATTTAAACCATCCTTTTTACAGTCTATGGAGATCAAGTATCTTAATGAAACATAAAAACACTCTTGTTAAGGTTAAATGATACAAGAGATTCAGTCAGAAAAATGCAGAAACTGGACAAATGACCATTTCTGCAACAAATAAAATGTGCAAAAATAAAAGGGGAGAGTGGAAGCCTTAGGTTAAAAGTAAATCAAGGGGCACCTGAGTGGCTCAGTCAGTTAAGAGTCTGACTCTTGATTTCGGCTCAGGTCATGATCTATCATGGTTCATGAGCTTGAGCCCCACACTGGGCTCTGCTCTGACACCATGGAGGCTGCTTGGAATTTTCTCTCTTCCTCTCTCTGCCCATCCCGCCCTGCTCTCTTCCCCTCCGTCTCTTTCTCTCAAAATAAATAAAATAAACAAACAAACAAAAAAAAAACCACTTATGAAACAAAGTCTGAATACTGGCTGGGTGGTTGATAATATTGTTAATTGCTTTAATTTTTTAGGTGTGATAATCAACTATGCTTGTGTTTTTAAAATAGTCTATATTCCAGAGTGGATACTGAAAGGTTTAAAGATTAAAAACATAGTATTTGGGGGGCACCTGGGTGGCTTAGTCAGTTAAGCGTCCCACTTTCGCTTAGGTCATGATCTCGCTATTCATGGGTTCAAGCCCCGCGTCGGGCTCTGTGCTGACTGCCAGCTCGGAGCCTGGAGCCTGTTTCAGTCTGTGACTCCCTCTCTCTCTGACCCTCCCCTGCTCATGCTGTCTCTCTCTCTCTCCTAGAAATAAAACATTAAAAAAAATTTAAAAAAAAACATAATATTTGGGGATTTGCTTCAAACTAATTTGGAGTGGGAAATATGGAAAGAAGCACATAAAATAGTACACTGGCAATCGTTGAAGCCAAATGATGGATACATGAGGCTTTATCACTACTTTTGTATATACCAAAAACATTCCATAGTAAAAAATTAACCAGGCATATATATGAATGAGTGTTTGTTCATATATACATTTTAAATTTACTTCTAGGCGAAGCTGAGAACATTAAAAAAATAAGAATCTTAGCTCTACTTGAAACAAATTTCATAAAAGACTCCTCCCCATATACACAATTTTAACAAAGTTTTGAAACAAGTTAAATTATTAAAGTTTTAACTGTAAGTTACATTTAATACACATACATGAACAACTGATCAACTGTTTAGCTTCCTTTGTTTACAAAGGATTATCTATAATGTGACTGTGAGCAATATCTAATTTATACTGAGGGCCACTAAGAACAGCTGTGTAGTTTTTGCATGGCTTGCAGGCACCCAAAGAAGATACAAGTAGGAGCTGAAAAGTCACCCAGATGCTACCCTATTCAATGTGTCAGAAGCAGGAGACCGTTTTGGTAAATTAGTCCACCCAGACAGGGTACCTTTTACTAATGTGCACAAAAGCAAGTATGTGCTACGTGGTGGTTCTGGTTATTATTCCCCATTAGAAAGGAAAGGAAAAATGGCCAGGTAATTGGTCATATAACCACACACCATACATTTTAAGAAAAGACACATCATGGATAAATTAAGCACTTGAAAAAAGTAAAATATTAAAGCTACAGTATACAAATGATTATAGATCTTCAGAAGAAATATTCCTAATAGCAGTCTTAGGAATGAAAAATGACACAGTAACCTACTTTGTATAAAATAAACTAATATAACTGAAGAATAAGGTGGAGATTACTTCAAATGAACTATGAAAAGGGAATTTTACCTGACAACTCCACAAGAAATGGTTCTCTAAGAGCAATCTTACCAGGCACCAAACTCTAATTGAATAAAATGAATTGTGAAGCAGGAGTACCTAGTCACCTCACTGATGGCTAATCTGATTTATTAACAGAATTCTCTATCACTTTTCTGCTCTGTTACATCCTTGGGGCATGACAGGAAAAAAAAGTGATTGAATTCTAACAAATTTAGCTGCTGCTTCTTCCAAGTTTATCACAGGTCTTCAGTGGATACTGCTGGATTGAACTATTTCATGAAACCTCTAACTCCACAGTAGCCACTGTGCACATTAAAGGCTAATCTAGAGCAATGAAAACCACAGCCAACATTACTAATAAGCACTTAAACCGTGTGCCAGACACTGAGCTATTAAACAGTGACATTTACTATTTGTTGCAAACCTACATGTATTGCACCTGGTGAGATCAACAGCTCTGGTCTCTAAGTTGTGGAGCCTACACTCATTCAGGAAGACAGACATCTGACAAGTACTGTTTTCAAAACATGAAGCTGTTCTTCAGCAGCCCCCTAATTAAAAATCTTCAGGAGGCTCCCACTGCTCTTAGGTCCTGCATGAATCAGGCCTCTGCCTGTGTCTACAGTCTCATCTTGGATTCCCATCACTAAAGGGCACTATTTCTTCCATTCATTCACTTGTGCTGCACTTGCTCCCACCACAGCATTTCTGTCTCAGCAGTGCCTAGAATCCTGTACCTTGACCCGTAATCGGCCCTCCAACTGGCCACCAGTCATCCTTTCTATCTCTGCTGCAGCAGAGAAGGTCACTCCCTAAGCCCAGGTCAGCCCTGTCTGCTCTCACAGAAGTCCTCCCTTCCCTTCAGTGCATGTACCTAAGTTTGTGATCATACAGTGACTGAGTGTGCACCTAGTGTAGTATCTGTAACAAAGCAGGCATTTAAATAAATATATAAATAGGGACTTAAAATTTTTTTATGTTTTATTTATTTCTGAGAGAGAGAGAGAGAGAGAGAGAGAGAGAGAGAGAGAGCAGGGGAGGGTCAGAGAGAGAGGGAGACACAGAATCCGAAGCAGTCTCCAGGCTCTGAGCTGTCAGCACAGTGCTCATCCCCACAAGTGCCCTCCTCCATGCCCATCACCCCCCTGGAGCCAAACCCAGAATAATCTGAAACAGAAATGGGGGCAACATTACAACAAAAATTCAATGAATAAAATTTCAGTTAACTAGAATGAAGTCGAAACAAAAAGAAACATGATTTTCAAAAGAAAGAAATCCTAAGAAAACAGTTTCATATTGGGACTTGGGGAAAAAGGCAAATTCCAGGATTATGTTCTTAAACCTAGCCAGAGTAAGCTAAATTTTTGTGCCCTCCAAAATAATCATCACATTGAAGCATTGTAAGAAATTCAATTATGAAATTCATACATGTCATCATTTTCTTAATACAATAGAAAACTAAACCAAGATGCTTTAGAAACATTTTTCAGGGAAAAAAAAGTATTTATAATTAGGCAAAAAAATTCCAGTATCCCCAAAATTCTTAAGCATTCTACAGCTGAACAAGTTATATGCATTTTTAAGCAATATCCATTTAAATAGCATACAGAACTCAAGGAAAATCTTTCTGAAGTTAGACAAAAATCAGTATTCATGAGTGTACCTCTTTAATGGTTACATCCAAAGAGATTTCAAAATATCATTTATATAGCTGTATATGTAGCATATTTTTATTTAGAAGTCAGTTATTAAAGAAATGTAGTAATCATTATCCTTAGTTCATGGCACCTGTCTTTATTGGTCTATGAATGGCCAACTTTTATTTAATTACTATTTTTAGTATTATAATAAGCACCTACAAACCCATCACCCAAACAAAAAACCTAGGACCCGGACAATACCTTCCACCTAACTATGCAGTGCAGTCATCTTTACCCTCCTACTGCTTCCCCCCAAGCAAGTTAGCCATCATCCTGAATCCCATTCCTGCTTCCCTTGTTTTCTCTTTTATACATTTTATTTATATATGCATATATGTATTTATCCCTTTATCTCCATATATATGTAAAATTCATATTCTTAAGATATATTTTTATTTTAATTGCTGCTAGCTTTAAAAAAGGGTATCAGGCTATATGTAATATTTCGGAACCTATTTTATTGATTCATCTACAATGTGTTTGCTGTAGTTATGTGATGTGACCATTATATAATATTGCATTATTTTTATTGATCTACTCTCCTGTTAATGGAGAAGCTATTTATTCATCCAATCTACTACTGCAGAGTAAATTTTTCCACAATTTTGCTATTATAAATTGTGCTGCTGTGAACGTTCTTATATACGGCAACATTTTCTCTCTGACATACACCTATGAATGAAATTGCTGAGTCACAGTTTATATGAATGCCCAATTACAGGAAATAATGCCAACTGTTTTCCAAAAATATTTTGGCAATACTAACATCTTTAGTAAGTCTGTGGATTTAGATATTCTCCAACCCTTACAAAATACCATACACATTTCTTATGAAATGCTCACTCCTGTCTTTTGCCCATTTCTATTAGGTTGATTATGCTTTTTTATTTAATGCATGGATATACAGAAAAAATCAGTATCTTCTCTAACATTCTAGAATGTAAGATTATTATATGTCTTGGTTATTAACTTGATAAAACTATGTATTTTTTAATCCAGTCCCACTGAATTTGGCTCTCATTGTTCTCTGTAAACAGATCTATATGTATCTCTAAAAAATTATAGCCTTAAAAAAGTACGTGTATATACCCATGTAATACTGTTATCAATGCATAAATTTAACAAATCATGAATGTCATCAAATATCCAAACAGATTTCCTGATTTGCTTATGTCTTTTTGCTTTTTGTTTTAATATTTTGATTAAATAAGGATCCAAATATAATCCGTACATTGCAAGTGACTGATAATGTCTCTCATGTTTCTTTTAATTTACATATGCTC